TGTGATAGGACCTATCATTGATAGGTTATAATAAAATAATAAAATAATATAATAAAATAATAAAATTATATAAAAGTCAACTTATAAATATTTTCTTTAAAACTCGCATGTGTTTTCCAACATTTAACTTCTGTAGACAGTTTATGAGCCCATATTGCACATTTGACACATCTCATCCAATTATACACCTGTTGCATTTATTCCTCGAACAACAGTGATATTTTTTCTATGTTCTATAGATACAATTTTTACCACTATCGTGCACCAGTTGGAGAAATAACTTTTGGTAGTTAAGATGGCACGCAGAGATACTAGATTAATCTATATTAAATATCTGTCTGGCATTAAAATGTTTTTCAAGTTTAATTTCTTTTAGTTTGTCAAAAAATTAATCAAGATTTATTTTATTGAATGTCATAATAATGTTTTCTAATACTAAAGTTATAATTAAACATAAAGTTATCACCTGCTAACTTAGTCTGCGTATTGAACAGGTGATACCATTTTGGAGAAATAATAAAATTTATTTAATATTTATATTAAATGATTAGAATATTAAATGAAAGTTTAAATTAAACAAATTTTGAAATTTCTGTAAAATGATACTATATATATTATATTATATTTGCGTTACATGGGACGGTGTGAACCATATTTCCTTGGCCGAAAAAAATTGCCAATCCACCTCTGTCTGTATTGCCCTAGTATAGTACCGTCTTACTGAGTTTTAGGACTTATTTGTTCAAAAACAGGGATCTAGGTATAGATTATTAATGGAGGGGGTTTCAACTTTAAATTATTAGTAATAGACAAAAACATATGTATAAAAAACAAATACAAATATAGGTGTATTAATAAAAATACTTATAATATTATTATTTTTAATTAAATGTTATATAAGTATATCTAAATAAAATTAACCGTTGTTTAGGTTGTGTTAGTTTGTTTACAATTTGTAAAGGATCAACAATTAAGTCTTCATAAATATTTAGAATAGCTAATCCAGTAGGTAGCTCTTGACTAATGGTGTTTCGTAAATACGTCTTTAAGCGTTTTAATATAGAAAAGGAACGTTCCGTATTCGCAGTAGATACAGGAAAAGCAGCCAACATTTTAAGAAGAGTATAAATGAGAGAAAAAAACAGTTTATCACATTTTTCCAATGTTTTGATTGCATTTAACTCATTTAAATCATCACTTATTTCTTCCCACTTCTTAGTCCATAATTGATAATCACTCAACAGATTTTCAAGTTTTTCATTTAGGAGATATAATACATGGATTTCTGCTAATTTGTTTTTAGCATCATTCTTGTTTTTTATCAATTTTGGCATTAAAATCTGGAGGTTCTCAATCTTTTCCTGATAGTTATAAAATCTGGCAGCTAGTTCGTTTATCACATGGTCAAGAAATGGATAATAAACATTTATCTTATAAAATATTTCGACTGTCTTTGCAGAATTATTGCTTCGTCAAAAAGTTATTTTTGTTTTTGAAGTACCTACCAGCGGCGGAATTGGTCCACCGGGATACCGGGAAAGTTCCCGGTGGGCCGGTAGTCGTATTATACCACTGGGCCAATGTACTTGGATTAAAAATTATTTTATAAAAATAATGTATTTAAGTATATTGTATTTAATTGTAAGATTGTGATAAAAACCCAGTGTAAACGTGATGTAAACAATTCTACGAGCATTTAATCCATGAATAAAGGAGACTTTTATGGAAAATTATTATTATTATTATGGTGGGCCGGTCATACGGTAATTTCCCGGGCCGAAATTTTTAGCCAATCCGCCGCTGGTACCTACATAAAATCTAGCACCTACATACAATTTATTCTGATTATTATTGTCATTTATTAACTGATTAGAATTTTTGATAGGGAGTTCGAACCCCCAATCCCTTTTACCTACGCCCATGTTCAAAAATGTATTTTGGTGATATTTTGTGAACTGAAAGCGGTAATTTTCTGTCTCTCTCTATCAAGCGTGGAGTATAGGTATTCAGATTTTTCTATTTTCAACCTACATACCAATAAATATTAATAGATCTATTTATGTAATAAGAATTTTGAATTAAATTACTAAAGCTATGGTTTCCTAGAAAAGCGGTGTCATTATCTAGCGACCGCAATTTTACGGTTGTTACGGCCATCATTTTACCGCCGCGGCGTCTTTACGGTGACCAAATTGTGGTTTCCTAGAAAGTGGTGCGACCGCATTCAATCGTAGTTAATCAGTACTCATTCGAGCAGTAGGTCGTGCACTGGTGGAAAATGGACGATCTGGACATAGCATTATTGGTATGTTTGGAGGATGAAGAGTCATCAGAAGACGAAAAAATCGTTCGGAGGAGAGTGTGATGTTCAAATATCGTGATATTGAGGGTGCATTTAAAATTTTAGAGCGTCATCTGGGCTTGTCTATACTCTTTACATTTTATATTGTATAAAGCTTCATTATCTTTTACAAAATCAGTTAATAGTTCATCATTTTCGCTCTACCAAGTCGCGTTCCCACTCATTTTATTAAATAAATGTACACCACTATGACGGCCGTCATGCAATTGACAGCACCGCTATTTGACGTTACGCTGACCATCGACATTCTCTAGGAAACCTATACCGATGGTTTACATATAGAACGTTTTAGTGACGTTACTTAACGCTACATTACGGCCGCTAGATAACAGCACCGCTTTTCTAGGAAACCATAGCATAAGTTACTAGTTACTAAGTCTACTTTTGAGAATAATAAACTTTCTCATTTTTTTTACCATTTGTTGTAAAAAAGTTGACTAATCGTCAACTATAAAACTTGAATTGATTTTAGTGCTGTTTATATCGAAGCAATTTAAAAAGTATAACTTGGCTACTTTAAATTTACTAAATGACGAATTGAAATCAGTTTTCAAAATGCTTATCGTATAAATAGATTGATCGATACGTTTGGAATAGAAAACGTATTTAGGATATATATTTGGGATAAACGAAAAATTAGTTACCGCATTCAATCTTATTAAAAAAACTCAAAAGTATCAAGTTTCCAAATTAATTTCCTAGGTCCTCGTCTACATAACATTGTTTAATAAAAGATAATCATAAACGTGCGCAGACCAGTATTTCAAGAATGCCTACAATAATTTTGGGCCCTATATTAACAAGACATGTTGGGATATTTAATAAATTATAGTGTATAAATAATTAAACAAACGTAACTTTACTTTATACTTAACATTGTAGTATATTAATTCTAACTAATATGTTTTCCTAAGATCTCTATGATCTGCAGTGGCGTATTTATGGGGGAGGTGCTGGGGGTTTCTACTCCCCCCCCTCAAAAAAAAAAATTTAAAAACGTCAAATTTTAAACACATCAGTAATATAATAATTTTAGTTTGTTTATTCAATAAAGTATTAAAGTTTAATGAAAAAAAAAAAAAAATATATATATATATATAAATAAAATATTAATATCGCTAATAATTAAATTGTAACCGGATAATAATAGCAATCGACTGCACGACACTCACACACACATGGTATATAAATAATCTGATGTAGAGAAATTATCGCTCTATTAGAATATCTTATCTAGTCCGTGACAGTCACGCCTTGTCAGTTGTCAGTATGCACTATGCATCTATGCGCAACGTGAAGTAATATAAAATACGATTAATACGATCATACGTTTAATTTAGTTATTAATTATTATTATTATTTAGTATTTAAACAATAAGTTGATGAAGAACATTTTATACTAATTTATAAAATGATTTCACTATTAGGTATGACACCCCCCCCAAAAAAAAAAAAAAATTAGTTTCTAAATATGCCACTGATGATTTATATTTTTGTAGTCAATTGTAACTGTTATATTATCATATGATGTTTTTATAGGACAATTCAGAAAATTTAGTTTTTTTTTCGAAACGTCATTTATTTATTACCAAATACTTTTGAAATATATTTTTACTTTTGCGTTGAAATGTTGACAATAAATTGAAGATATTTTAATTTTTCATTGATAATATTTTAGTATTAATAGGTACTTATTAAGTACTCACACGGTGTCACGAGTCACATCCTATTATTTTAGTAGTTACCTTTTATTCATTAAGTTATTAACTGATAAGTAATAATTTATTATCTACGTTTCATTTTTACCTTAAGGATTTCCATCAGCTTTAAAATACTTACTTGATATGGTAATTCTGTTGATTGCAGTAAATAAGTTACACCGCAAAATGTAAAAACTAAATATGTCAAAATATACAGTTTATAAGTTGTAACTCACCTAATTTACTGTGGATTTAAGTACAATTAATGTGTAATAAAAAGAGAGAAGTTATTGTTAAGGTTTAGGATTCACGAAACCATTTTAAAAATAATAGTACATAATCCAAAACAATAATTAACTAACACAAAATAAATTTGGAACGTTTTCAAATTCCCCACTCAAATCTCATGTCATTAATGACGTCATAGTGACAATTATATACATATGTAGTGGTATATTTATTTATACAATGCATTTCTTCAAAACAATATGTAAATCAAATCATAAAACAATTGTTAAAAACTTGATTTATTATAATTTATTACTACAACAATATATACATCATATTAAAATGTTTATAATATTTTATTATATTTATAATATTTATTATGGTGTTGCAGAATTGTTCAAGATAATTATAATTACAATTATAATTTTTCGGTATAAATAAATAATGCTGTAGATATTGCGTGATGTAGATAACACGATGCACATCGTAAGTATAATATTACAATTTTGAAGAAATAGGTAGCTCTTATGGAAAAAAAAATTAATAATTCGATTTTTTATTCCAAGAATACTGATGACGTCAACCAGCTAGTCCGCAGTTTGCCCGGTAGGTCGGTAGCTTCGGCCGTAGGAGGGGTGTATCGTCGCCCGCACCGTAAGGAGTCCTTTACGGAAGCCGCACCCAATTTTTATCACTCTTACCGCGTATCACTACATAATTTTTTTTTATTATTATTAATTCGATAAAAAAAATAATACAAAAAAATAGGGTAGAATATAAAATTGTCTACAATGTGTAGTGTGCAGTCTTAGCAGAAAACTTTGTGCAAGTTCGCGTGCTAGTCAGGTTGATCTTGTGTTGGATCGTCGAGTGCGAGCGCGTTGACCGAAAATATCACATTTTGCTAAGTGCGTGAGTGTTGTGAATGTGCTTTATAGGAACATCGGGCACTCGGCCGGACTGAAGTCATACTTACGGATAAGGGTGAGTTATAAACATTTATTTTAGTATTAGGATAAGCATTTCATTACATTTGGGTGATAAGGAATAATCGACGATTCTACACTGACAGCGGTCCGTCGTCAACATAACGGGCGACAAATATAGGCAGTCTAATAAGAATTGGTATCATTGAACATCTTTTATTATTTACCTCCTATTTATAAGTTTTGTGTAGTGTACATAATAATATTTAATATACTGAACTATAATATGCTTCTATGGGTTGGTACTTATTATCAAATAATAACTAATATCTTATTAAAAAGTTAATGTTTATTACTTGGTATTTAATATTGCTATTAAAAATTTTATAATTCGGTAGCTATAATGATTTATTAATTTCTGTATAGATATTAAGAGAAAATTGTATTGAACCATATTGCAGGTTCCAAGATATTCTTTGGTATACAAACATAAGTAAAAATCAAATTTTGTATTTGCAATTAATTTATAACTCATTATTCATTACTTAGTAATGTTTTTATATTTTTATAATTATATGTCTTTATTATTTAGTCAATTTTCCATCAGGTGAATGTTTTTCTCACATACCTGTTTTCTATTAAAAAAAAAAAAAAAAAAAAATAGTATGTATATTAAGAATTTAGATAATTTTTCATACTTTACTTTTGTATAGAACAAATGTTAAAATTGTAATTATTACAATATCTAATGATTTCTTATTTTTAGATGAATATATCTAAATTTGAATCTTTAAACATTTGATCCTTTACATATTTTCTTATTATTTTATATTATTATATTATTTATACTTCAAAAGTAAAATACAGTTATTTTAATTATGTTATTATGAATGTTTTATGTATAAATATATTATTTTTTATGGTAAAACTGCATAATAGATAAAATTAAACTTTTGCCAATGTGTATATAGCAAGTAATCAAAGGAAATGTTTTATTTTGACATAATTTTTATTAGTATAAGATTGCTTTAATTTAACTATTAATATTATATAATTGTTCTACCTTTATATTCTTTATATTCTTAAACAGTCAAGTCAAATAGATATGTCATAATTGAGTAATTTTTATACAAATAATATTTAACCATCCAAAGGACGTATAATGTACACATAATGTTGGTTTCATTAATCATAAATACAAAATGAAAGTGATAGTCACTTCCTTCTGTCTCAATTGATATCTTTATCATGATAAATAATTATTAAACTAACAATATTACCTTAGAAGACAGGTTAATATGAACTCTCTCAGTTCAAGACGTTTATATTTTGTTTATATTTATATTTTTATTTCTATAACTTATAGTTATAGATGCAGTTATCTGTATATAAATAATATACTTATATAACAATATTACATCAGAAATATTCTATTATTAGGTATTACCTTTCTTAATTTATTTTTTAAAAATATATAAAAATATTTAAATTAAAAAAAATAATAATAATCTTAGAAATAAACTAAAATATGAACAAAAAAAAGATTTTAAGCAGCTCTAATTTTTTATAATTAATTAATTCCAATGTAATTGTTGAGCTAAATCTGCTTAATCTTCAATTTTAAAGCAATTCTTGTTTTCCTATGATCCGTTTATATGAAAACCTTAGTAAAATCAGTACAATTACATTGCTTAGAGAGTTTTTACTGTATTTTAAAGAAAAAGAATTATTTTCATTTATTTTGTATTCTATATCAGACCTAGTAAATTGTTGATATGAATGCCCAAAGTGATATATTGATAAAATATAATTGCATCTGATTTCTTTATTTTAAAATTGTTTGTAAATTAAAGTTGGAGATACAACAATCCCAAAAATTAATTTATATTAATTATGTTCATGGATTTGAATGATAAATGTAAATAATACATAAGTATACATAAAGTTTTGTTTGCCGTTTTTGTCTTACAGAATACAGAATTACTGTAATAAGTAATAAGTAAAAAATCATTATGACCCATGTATTTAATAAATATAAATTGTTTAAAATTTAAACAATAATAGTGTATTTTATACTGAAAAATGGTTATTACCATTCTGTTTACTATCAGATTCTTATAATATAAATTGTAAATAGTTTAAAATATCATATTGAAGTTTATATTCAAGAATAGGTTTGAAAATTACACATTTATTATTACCTAAAACTTTTTTCTTTTGCTTGAAGCTTTATTTAAAATATTAACTTAATTTATAGTATATTAAACTATAATTTAAAACTGATTATATTTTAACAGGACAAAAGCAACCATGAAAATATTAAAAGTCAATTTTTGGCTAGTGTATAAATTTAATGCTTATTTTTAATTAAATAAAATTTTAAGTTTAAATACCTAGGTCATAACAATCACAATATATAAAAATAATGCCATTGCAACTTTTCAATAAATATAATACATATAAGAAAATAATTATATGTTAATTACAAAAAAAAAAAATTCAATGTTTTTTTATTGATCTATAAGGCTTGAAAAACTACAGTTTTTTCTGATATGTATTTCAAACTAATGACACATCTTAAAATATTAATAATATGAGTAAAAATTGTAGAACATACTATTATATTAACATATTATATTGATATTTTTTCTAAAATATTATGGTTAAAATCAGTTGATTAAATATATTTAATATTTTAGTATTTAGATCAGTGGCATATACTTAACTTTTGTATGGGGGGGGGGGGGGATCAGTTGCAAATTATTATAGAAGGAAAATTCCTAAACCTAAGTAGCTGCCCATTTAAATAATAAAAGATATATATATATATATTGAATGTGTCAAAATAATAAATTACTATAAATCCTTGCAATATTTTTTTTTGTTTCCTTATAATTTCCTTACATTAAGAACACTATTTTATATAATTTTAAAAAGACCTATGAGAGGTCTGACCCCCCAACCCCACCTACCCTTTATATGTCTCTGTTTTATACTGTATTATAATACTTAGTATTTGTAATGCTATTTCAGTGACAGATAGGAATATTGTTATCACCTACTAGGAACTGAATTTTAGGGCTTTAAAATTAAAGGGCTCCCTAATATTTACTATTGTACATTTATGTTTAATTTATAAAATTAGAAAGCGATTTTAATATTATATTAATTAATAGACAATATATTTTAGACTTAGAATAGATGTAAACAAAAAATATATCAAAATCTTATAATTAATATAAATAATGAAATTATTATAAGTAGTAGTAGGTATTTATAATATTTTAAAATATATTGTCATCATTCTGCTTGTCATTACAATTGGTCTTTGAAAAATTTAAAAACTTTTAAAATTAAAATTACATGTTACATGGGCCACAGAAACATTCTGATATAGCATAAACATAACTGCTGTAGTCTTTTAATTCAATTTTTTTTATTTTAATCCAATTCATTTTTTCCAATTAGATAATACAATATTGTTATTATGATAGTTATATAATTTAAAACATAATGAGTTGAGACTAGAAGACCCTATAAATATGTATGAAAGGGGACCTACTTGGAAATATTAAATTTCCCGATAGGCTTATCACTTTACTGTGCTAATATAAATTGTTATTGAAACATAAAAAAATCAAACTTTAACTTAAATTTTTATTTAGATCCTATGTATTGAAATGAAAAAAAATTTCTTTTAGAAATTGAAAAAATTATTAGTCTTATTTTCTGTTTTCAATTATTAATTGTTTTACTTTTATAATTATTAAATGTTTATCTATTAATAGTTCTAGATGTCTTACAAATTTCCTATTTTTAATAGTTTTTTAAATTTGAATTTACTCTACATTTATACATTTTTTATGTAAGAATTTTTACTTTTTTTATATACTAGACTAGTGGTTCCCAACTGGTGTATTGTGAGCACTTTTGAAGTGTGCCGCGATAAATCTATAAATTGTTTAATAAGTATGTATTTACCTGCTTTTTTTTGATATTTGTTGAAAAGTGTGATCGAACTAATTGTAGATACATATAATATTATTTATTGTAAGTATGTCCATCGTAGCCGTTTTGATCGTTCAATTGTATTAATATATTTCACAATAAACAACCCTCTAATAGAGTAGACTGATAAAAGTGTACACACACATATATATAATATGCTTCATATAATATATGAATAGATGTGCCGCATTGTTAAAAAGATTGAAAACCATTGTATTAGATATTCATCACAACCAATAATCATTAGTTAAATTAAATTTAGTTATTTTTATGTTATTATTTAAAGTATTACACTTTGAAAATTGTAATTTACACCCATTTCTGTATGATATTTTAATAAATAATTATTTAAACTGTGTATTTTAGTATGTATGTACTATGTGTATCATTGTATATAAATTTATATTATCTATGGAAACTTTTCATTTAGATATTTGTAAAAGATATTTGTCAAAACAGTTTAATAATTAAAGTAAATATATAATTTATGGCATTATTAGCCTTATGGCTTACTCATTAAAATAAATAAATTAGCTTTTTAATCTTTATATTATCCAAATATACTATATAGTATGTACAATGTATGCTACATATTATATGTCACAGTTTAACAGAACTAGTAAATTGTAATTTATCATCAATTTATCAATAATGATATCAGTAATTAGGTACTTAATAAAAAATAACAATTGTTAATGGAGTAAATACTATTATTTTTTTGCCATGTTAAAATAATTAGACAATAATTACACCTAAATTAGTAAAAATTATAAAGGTAACAGGTAAATGCCTGTATTATATTAGCTACCCTCCAATTAATATAATCTAAAATATATCAGTCTTCTAAAACTATTTTTTTTTTTTTTTTTTGTAACTTGAAAATAGTTCTTTTTACAGACTAATGTTTATTAATTAATATTCTAATATATAGACTATTAGGAACTACTAGGAATTTTTATTCTTATAAATTAATAATTGTCTCAATATTTTACTATAATCAAAAAATTGAAAAATAAATAATTACATCTCCCAAAATGGTTTTAAGTAAGA